ACGTTCCAAAAATTTGCACCTTCTCTATCTATCTAAGTTCTCTGGTGCTATGTGGCTGTCAGCACGTCAAATGTGACGACACCATCAACCGCGATCAAGGTCCTTAAAAAGAAAACCAAAAAAAAAAAATATTATAATCAGCGCTTAAGTCACCAAAAGAATAATATCAATAAATTTCCGGAAATTCGTGCGATTTTGGAAAATGTGATTGAACTTTTGTGGGTGAACTCTTGCTATGTTTGTAAGCGTTTGCATATGTACATATGTAAATAGGTATGTATTTATGTACAATTTTCGTGGCGTCGAATGGAAACACCTCATTCACAGCCCTCCCACAGCCATACAAACTACTGACACCAATTCATGACAGCTTACCACTCACCCAGTCAGCCCAAAAACCCCCAACAACAGCAGTGACATTATTTAAAATGCAAGAGCAGCAAACTAAATTGTGCACAGCATTGCATTCATATATATTTTTTTTTTCAATTCTTTTGCTTTACGTTATAAAATCAGCTATTTTTTTACGTTAGTGCTTTTGCAGTTGCGCGCTTTCTTCAACACTCTTCCTTGTGCACTCGATTCGCAAGTCAAAATTAAGTGTATGCATATCGCGAATGCATGTCTGTCATTTTGTGTATTGTACATTTATGTAGGTAAATTTGTATGATGTAGATATGTAAACGTGTTGGCATATCGTGCCGTTTGACGGCCATTGACCCTAGTGATGACCATTGGCTTTTGTCCATTCAATACAGTTCAATTAATTGTGACTTTTGATTTTGATTGCGCTTTTTATTTGCTTGTTGACTAGGACTTGACAACGAAGTTTGCTGTTTTTTTTTTTAATTTACATTCACTGTTAATTTGTATATTATTATACATATCGAGCCCTAACTGCCAAAATAACGTAAGCGAAGTTTTTTTCAAAATTTTCTTTTTGATGCAGAAATAATTATAAAGCATCTAGATGGGGCACTAATAACGAGCTGACTATCTCATCTTTCAGATATACAGGCCTGGGCCCGAATAACGGCATCCGTGATCGAAGGAAGCTCGATTCGAAATTTCATTTTTTGATTACGGCATTCGATAACGGGTCCGTTCTTTAATGTATGTAAATTACGTTGGATAAAAAACAGCTGTAATCGTTTTCATTGGATTCGCTCACGGTTGCCGTGATTCATTACCTGGGCTCACGGCTCAAAAACCATACGAAGGAAAATTACGTGATACGTCATTCGTATAAGCAGAATTGGATAAAGAGTACGTTCACGTATGTCAAAATTCGACAAATGTGTTTTTACGTGACGAGTAATACGATATCGTATGTGACGATTCGAGCCCTGTTCTGAAAATCATACGATCATACGATTTGAAATCGGTGAGGTTTGCAAAATATTCTTGAATATTTGTAATGAAAATAATGCATATGAATTACAAATAGAAGCTGGCATAAACACGTCATTTACGCCTTATCGATCAATTTAGTGTAGAACTTATGCCTTTTTGTTAAGAAAAATTTGGTAAATCTCACCGATTTCAGATTTTAAGATTTGCAGAACTTGCCTGATAGGTATACATATTTGCATAGATACTAGGGTGATTGACTCGGTTTTTCCAAACCGGTTTCAACCAGTTTTTTTTTTATACTTTTAGGCGCATTCTTTTTAATCTTAAGTTTTCGAGTACCGAGTAAACCGGATTTTTACAATCGAATAAACCTGAAAATCCGGCTAGTTTTTTTTATATGCAGTTTATAATATTTATTTTATTGAAAATGGCGCTACCAAATTTTTATTAAATTATATCTGAGTACTGGAAAGTTTTCCAGAAAACTACTTTAAATAAGTAAGTTGACTGCGATGAAAGCTGCCTTTCTCAAAGTGCTAGGTAGATTCATGCCCAGCCCGACTTCAACTATAGTTGTATATATTCTTGAGTTGATACTTAAGTTTTAAAATTTTTATTTTTTGCTTTTTAGTTCGTATGTATTTTATTTTTTAGAAGTTGGTTCTTTTTTTGTAAAAAAAAACTTTATTTTACTATTTTTAGTGATGGGTAAGCGCAAGACGCAATTTAACCGGTTGAAGCAATAACAAAGCACTCTCTGTACATTTTCGGACATTCGGCTATCTTCTAGAGAAAATTTTGCCTATACTTCTCCTTAATGGTAAAATGTGTTGGCTGCGTGTTAAAGTGTCAAATTTCTTATATTTCAATAATCATCGTTGTAAATACTGATTGTTTATGGATTAGCATAAGACCATTTTATTTTCAGAAAGCACATTTTCTAGTTTTTGTGTACTGAATCGACCGGGCACAATTAAGAGTTCCTAAGGATGGCCTCAGATTGACATATCGACATTAAAAATTAAAAAATAAAGCTGGAGTTTTACGTATTTCCTGGTCCTCCAGCTTAAACAATAAAAGGTATCATAGTGAATCCACTTTGATAAAAATTTATATTACATCGTTTATGGATTGTGTTGAGATAAACTTATGTAAGTTTTTCGTATTTCTGTTTAGAAATCGATAAATCGGCTATATGGAGATATTTTTTCACATGCTAGGCGATTATTGTAGATATTTACTCTACTTGAGATGGCTGCAGTAGTCATTGAAAAAAAATTAGTTTTTCGTACTTCTTAAAATTACCGTCATATGGGGAGTGGGCGTAATCCTTCTCGATTTTCAAAATTTTCGATACGTTAGGCTTATAGTTTATTTCTACCAAATCTTAACTGCGTTTAAGGCCTGTTGGAAAAAGGAGATTACAACTAGAAGGGGTAATTCCAACTATTAAGTAGAAGTAAACAAAATGATAAAAGCAAAAATGAAGAAATAAAGCTTGCCGATCATCCCATGTTAAAATTCTTGAAACTTATCTGAGTTCTTAACTGCAGTTAAGCCTTTGGTGGAAATAGGCTGTTAGGAAGAGGGCAGCTCCGATGTGAGTGGACAGAGTGAAGAGGTGGTTAATGGCTTCGCGGCATCTTATTCAAATCGAACTGAATAGTTTAGCCTGCTACAGTATCCATAATTAAGTTATATGTATTCAAATATCGCGAGCATCACGAAGCAACTCATACTCTTCGTCTGCGATCGATGGCTTTCATATCCGATGATGGAATTCAAGGGATGAGAGTGAACGAAGGTGTTCATTGATTCTCGATGCATGGACCTGTCTATAATAGACTATGTTTGTATAGACAGCCTAGTTTAGCGGATGGTGTTTTTCCCGACAAAGGACTGTCATTTTAGCGACATAATCTTTCCAAGGTCGGTGAAACCCATTAGGTATGAATTTTTCACATTTTTTTTTTGTTTTAGTTGTACTTCATTTCTTAATATATTCAAATAAATATTTAGGCGAACAAATCCAAAGTGAATTCATATAATTCATCTGGAACCTATTATATCTGCATTACTTCAAAGGCGGAAATATCAAGCTCTATAGTTGATAAAGAGTAAAACATGCAATTTATATAGAGATTTTTGAATTATAAGATTTTTATCGGCTGATGAAAGTATAAAATATCAAATTTTAATGTTGTAAGCTTTTTTATAACGAGGTGCAACTAATTCATTTTTGTTTCGTTATTTTCAGATGCCAAGACTATACTCAAAGGCGTCAGTGGTCGCTTGCGCTCCGGCGAGCTTACAGCTATCATGGGACCATCCGGTGCTGGGAAAAGTACCTTGCTCAATATACTCTCCGGTTACAAGTAAGTTTTTAAGTTGAATTTTCAAAAATGTTTATTAGGGTGCTTCCCAAAATGTCAACATAGAAATTTTTGTATTGAAAACCCCTTCATTTCGTTCTATGTAAAATTCAATGTAAAAGCATCAAAGAAATATTCAAAATTTTTAAATAATCTTAAGGGTCGCTGCCAGGGTTGGAAAATAATAAAGTTACCATTGAAAAAATAAAAAAAATGCTTTTTGAGCTGAGGAAGTCCATAATAACTCTCCCCTATACACAAATTTGTTCGTAGTTTTCAAGAATTGTTTGCTATCCAGTGTTATTTGGAGCTTAGGGAAATTTAAAAAATGCTGGATTTATTTCGAAAAAACTTAAACAAAAGACACTTTTTGGAACTTAATATTTTATGATGTATCAATGGGGAGAGTTGATGTGGACTTCTTTCGAAACGCATTTTTCAAATTTTTTCTATGTCAACAAAATATATCAAAATTGTCAACTTTCAATATTTTCAATCCCTGCTAGCGACAACTAAAAATTGTAAATACGTAGAATTGAAATTTTGCTTTTTTCCATATAAACTTGAATTGTAAATTCGGAAGACCGTTTGCAAAAAAATTAAAAAAGCAACGCCAGTTTTTATAAATTGCACTTGTTATATGAAAAACCCGCAAAAGCCGTCAGAAAAAAAATTAATTCAGTGCGATTTTTTAGCCGCTTTAAACTTGCACTTATTTTATAA